CTAATTTCCAACGCTACCTCTCTCCTCTCTCATTTATCCTCTGGCCAGACGTTTCTCCCATTATTTCATCTCCATCGGAATTCTCTTTTATCCATCTGCTACAACTCCATCTCATCTCCGGCGGACTATAATAAGTTTGAATGGAGATGTTTCCTCCCAACTCCAGCCATCGGCGGTCAGCATCCAGGGGTGGAGACAGGGAGGGGCTGAAGGTGGCCACGGCCTCTGCAAGAAAAAAAAATCTTAAATATATATTATGTATAAATACTTTTTAATCTGTAGAAAGTATGTTGATATTTTAAACTTTGCCCCCTGCAATATAAAATTCTTAAGGACAGGCCCCTTTAACCATAAATGTCTGGCTCCGCCACTGTCAGCAGCGAGTCCGGCGACCACCATGAGTAAGTTTTTATCTTTCTCTTCTCCTCCTTTTTTTCTTCTTCCTCCTCTTCTTTCTTCTTCTTTTCCCTTCTTTTAATTCACTCAATGGCAACATCTTATTGCAGGCTTGCAGCGTGAAGTTGCCTTGATTACAAGCAATTTTTTAATTTGATGTTTGCTTCATTTTCCCCTCTTTCGAGATCTGCTTTATCGTTTTTGTTGATTTTTGTGTTTTCTCTTTCAATTTCTTTTTTCAACTGATGTTCTCTCAACATTTTATAAAAATTCTATTTCGTACAGTATTGATTATTTTTTTACATTTGATTTAAATCAATTTTTTAACTTTTCAGACTATTTTTTTGATTTGAATCTAAAATTTTCATACTCTATTTTAAGTTAATGTTTATGATACGTAGTATTAAGATAAAAATAAAAATATTATTCTACATACATTACAAATAATGACATGTTTTTCCCTTTGAAATTTGTATATTGTCACATAGTGTCATTTTTTTTACATTAATTCCATCAAGATGGAAATTAAATACAAGTTATAATGTCATTTTCTTTACATTAATTCCATCAAGATGGAAATTAAATACAAGTTATAATGTCATTTTTTACATTAATTCCATCAAGATGAAACTGACTCATGATGATGGCAATATTTGTAATGCCTTGAAAATGCCCAGATGACAATAAAATTCATATCACTGTTTTAATACCAATGCCATTAAGATGACATTTAAATGACCCAGTTATATTTACAGCACTTCTACCATATTTTAGATTAGCCAAAGGTGGTGGTGCGGATCCGGCGGCGGGCGGCGGTGCTACACAAGGTGACGGCGGTGACTGACGGCGGAGGTGCCTGGTGGTGGCGGCTGCGTATGGCGGTGCTCCCGTTTGGCTGAGTGACATTGGTGGTGGAAGAAGTGGCGGCAAGTTGTGGAAGAGGCGGCGTCGACGATGACATGGGTGTCGACGGCAGGTGGTAAAGCCATTGACGACGGCGATGGTTGACGGGCTGGCGGCAGCAGAGAAGGTGGTCATGGGCCTCCTAGGGTTGTGTCGGTGATTGTTGTTGTACAGTTCGTTTTCTATATTTTTCTTTGAATTATTAATAAGCATATCAGCTTCAGATTTCATTAAGGGTATTTACGTCAGGTTACCCATTTTTACTCTTACTAAACTTCACGGAAAGTTCAACTCCTATTTGTGCACAATTTTTATTGTTTACTCCTATATAGGTAATTAAAAAAAAATTAATCAGCCACCGAAAAATGAGCACTATCGTTCTCCTAGAGTGGATGAGAAACTCAATTATTACTGGATGAGAAACTTAATTATTACTGAAAAATATGTATGTATTCATATTTAATTTTATTTGAATATATAAAGCTTCATAAATATGGAAGGTAACAAAAAAGATGTTTCTCTCTCTAGGGTTGCCTTGGGGCAACGCTTAGTTTCTCTCGTCCGCCATCGATATCATCGAGCGGTGCGGGGCTGGGATTTTCCGTCGATTAAGGACTTAATCTTCGGCTTTGGAGGCTTCGCCGGTGGGAGGAATCTTCTTCCGCAAGCTATTCGGTTACGAGGGTTTACTTCGGCTTTCGATTGAGGGTGGCGTCGATGATTTGGGAGTCAGCGGCTTCTTGGCGACGGAACTGCTAGGGTGCGGCGGCGAAAACCGGGTGGAAGACGAAGGAACCGTGCTGTGAATGGAGAGTTTTGTAGACAAATACAAAAACATGGTGATTGGGACGGAGGAAAAAGATCTGGACCTGGATGATTTCGATGCTGAAGACGTTCTGGTAGAGGAAAGCAGTCCGGGATTTCCGGTGGTCGGAGTGCTATTGACTGATAGGAAGGTCAGATTTCCAGCCCTTAAAGAGCTTATGTCCTCACTATGGAGGCCGGGAAAGGGAATGATGATCAAAGAAGTTGGTGAAAAAAGGTACTTATTTACTTTCTATCATCGTGTTTATATGAATCGTGTGCTTGAAGGAGGTCCATGGCAGTTTGAGCGTAATCTGTTATTGTTGAAAGAAGTTAAACCTGATGATATCCCGCACAAGATTGTTTTAAATGAGGCTGATTTTTGGGTTCAAATTCATATTGTTCCCTATAGCCTAGTTAATTTAGGTACTGCAAGGCGGGTTGGAAATTTTATTGGAAAGTTTATAAAATATGATGATAATCAGAATAGTGAGAAGTGGGAGTCTTACATGAGAATCGGGGTGTGCATGAATGTTGATAAATCCTTGAAAAATGGTACGAACCTGAAAAAAGAAGGAAAGAGTTTTTGGGTGGATTTCAAGTATGAGAAGTTGCCCAATTTTTGTTTTATATGCGGCTTAATTGGGCATTCAGATAAGTTTTGTCCGTTGAACTATGAAGAAGATCTAGTACTAGAAAAAAAACTTTGGGGTCCATCTGAGGGCAGGGAGCGGGGTGAAGACTAGCTCTACAGGAGGTGGCAAGTGGTTACTAGAGGGTTCATCGAGCTCTGGCAGAGAACGCAGATATATGGGTGATAATAAGTCTGAAGGCAGGAAGGGGGAAGGGGGGGAAAGAATCTATATCAGAATCAGCGCAGAGTATAACTAAAGGAGTGGGTGCGGATACGAAGGAGGAAACATCGGGGGAGCAAAAGAGAAGAAGGGTTTGGGAGGCCCGGGGAGGAGACAAGGTTGGGGAAGATAGCATGGCTCTTGATGGGACAAAAAACGGGGAAGGGGCGGGCTTCAATCAGTAAGTCCGCCGAAGTTGATACAGTCAGAAGGGAGGACGAAAGTTCGGGTGCTCGTGCAGCTCGGCAGGCTCGGACAAAGTTTCAAGTTTATTTGCTTTTTTGTTTTTCTTTAGTAACAATTTATTTTGTTGTGTGGTTTTTTTCGTTGTTGTTCCTTTTTGTAAGACGGTTGATTTGGATGTGGGTGATGGGAGGATTGCGGTAACCGTCTTTGGCTCATTTGTCCCCATTAATGGATCAGCGAATTATATTTCTTCTTGGAGGTGATTAATTCCGAGTCTGGTTCACGGGACGGCGGTTGTCAGGAATCTTTTTGTCGGATTACCTACTATCTGAATGATGTGTTATCGATTTAAGCCTATTTCTTCTAAAAAAAAATACTTCATAAATATGATTATTAACATGTTTCTTCTATAATAATTTAGTATCTCGTCCATTCAAATTACAAGAGATATATATTTATAAAATTGACTAAGTTAAAAATAATTAGCATATACTTTGTATTAACATTTAACGTAGTATTACAAAAATTGCTTTGAAATATCTATTATGATGAAAAAAGTTGAATATAAATAAAGTAATGATAAAAATAAAAGATAAAAGAGAATGTGATGTGTAGAAATTATAGTAGAAATTAGCTTAAGTGGAAATATAATGTTGTTAATGTCTATAAATTTTGCTTCATTATATTTAAAATTCATGAAAGAGCTAGGGGTGGACTCGGGCCGGGCGGCCCGACCCGGAACCGGCCCGGCCCGGTTACTGTTTGGCCCGGCCCGGGGCCCGGTGGGTCCAGCGGTTCGGTTTGGCCCGGCCCGGGTGATGGGCGGTCCGGGCTCGGGCCCTGCTTTAGGCGAACCGGCCCGGCCGGTTCGGGTCCGGTCCGGGCCGGATTTTAATTTTTTTTTTTTTTTTTGAATTTTTTTTAAGTTTTGGGTTGGATTAGGTATTTTGGGCCATTTGAGGTGGTTTGGGGTTGAGGGGGAGGGGTAGAGCCCGTAGGGGGTTAAATAGGAGAACCAAAAAAAAAAAAGGACCGGTTTGGCCCGGCCCGGCCCGGTTTGGCCCGGAACCGGAACCGGCCACCGGCGGTTCGGGCTCAGGCCCCAGTTTTCTGGCCCGAGGCCCGGCCGGGCCCAGGCCCGAACCGGGCCCGAACCGGCCCGAGTCCAGCCATATCCGTATTAGATAACTTGCATTTCAATTTGTCATGAAAGAGAGCTACATCATAACATGAGTTACATTTGTCATGAAAGATAACTTGCATTTCATTTTTCATCAACATGAGTTACATTTGTCATGAAAGAGAGCTACACCACAACATATATTTCTGTTACTGAAACAAGGAGTCAATATTCACGCATATTTTAAATGTAGAAGTATAATGCTCACGATGAGTTGCTCCCATGATATAGCCTCGATTCTATTACTTTTGTAACAATTAATTCTTATAATAAATCATGTTCGGTTCGCAAAATGCTCACCCATTAGTGGAATGCTGGAAGGCTTATGATTAGAGTGAAAATTAAGAGCTTATTTGATAATATTGAAATTGGTTGAAATTGTATAAGCTCGGGTTGAAGCGGCTAATATGACTAAATCAGTTGAAAAGATTATATATATAATATATTTTATTAATAAAAAGTTATATGAAAATAGCTCAAATAATCTTTCACAATAACTTCAACCAATTCAACAAAAAAAAAAATCAACCTTACTTATTTTGACTATTATACAATTCGGAGTATGAAATACAATGTTGTGTGCTTGGAAAAAATGATTGATAAACTTGATAAGACGAAAACAAAGGTCATCAAACCGGCTCTAAGTCTACAGATGACACTTAAGTTGATATTTGTATGAAAAATCTTTTTTTCCCTTAAAAAGATAATAAAAATAGCATATTCAATAGGTTATGAATTCAATTATTTCTATGATGAAAGAAACTGCTTCAATTATTTGAATAATTGATTCTATATCATTCAATTGTTGTTCTCCAAAACAAACTGTGCTTCTAAAGAGTAGCAAAAAACACATATATGCGCAGGGTAGGAAATTAACAAAAAACAGCAGCAGCAGTCTTTCAACTGGCCTGCAGGCCTCTTCGCCAGATTAAATCGTGAAAGCCCATGTAATTGATGCAAGTATACAAAGAATGAGATCGTGCTGCCCACCCCAACAAATCAAGTAATGGATATCTTGCAGATTGGACACAGTGTTCTTCTTAGCAGCCATGGGTCGATGCACTACAGAAGTTTAACAATATGTAAGGGACTATGAGGGGTGGACACCTAAAAACATTATTTAATTCCAAAGAGGAGAATTAGGAAATGGTCGAGGCTCTTACATCTTTGTGAAATTTGTGCACGCAAGGGAGAAGGCGGATTGTATCTCCAATTATCAGAGTTTCAAGGCAAACAGCACAAGCTTCCTCGAGATTCTCAACCTGCAATGGGCATGAGTCAATATAAGCAAAGTATCACTTCTGGGGAAACACAGTCTCTCTCAAGGCCTACAACACCTTGTGAGTTGAAATTTTACCTGAACAACTGACAGTGGCAAACCATTAATCTGATTTATTGATGCACCCGCATGATGGTGATTATCTTCATCAAGTGCCAATAACATTTCATAGTCGTTCCTGAAACAAGGGAAGAGGAAGTACGGAAGGTAAAAAAGGATAGTTTTATTTAACAACAACATTACCCAAGTGCCGCAAAGGCTCCCACCTACGGTGGGATAAGGGGGGTCGAATGTACGCAACCTTAGTGCTTTACCTCTGTACTAAAGCACAGAGAGGCCGTTTTCAGATGACCCTTGATAAAAATCGCACCGAATATTGCATGGACTCACTGTTGCTTCGTAACTAGGTAGCACAAACAGTTTAGTGAGCCATTTTGTTTTATTTCATCATATTCCCAAGCCAAAAAATACTAAGTCTTTGAATAAAACGATGGAAAAATAGTACTCCCTCCGTCCCGCAAAGATGTTCACGGTTTGACCTACACACATATTAAAGAAATAAACTTACCAGGGGGTAAATTTTACTGTTTTGACACTGTTTCGACACGGTTTCGACACTGTTTGGCACTGTTTGGCACTGTTTTGATGTAGGATAACTTTCCTTTTAGGGAAAGGGGAACTTCTTTTTGGGACTGCTAAAAAAGGAAAGTGGGAACTTCTTTGCGGGACGGAGGTAGTATAATTTTATATGTTCTCAAAAATACATTTCTCACACATACACACGCTTGAACAAATGCTAAAATGTCAAAATGATGCTGTAGCTGGAGAGCAGCCATCTAGAGCACTCATTATCTGATTCACAAAGATGTCACTCAATCACAGGCATACACCATAAAATTTAAGAGCAGAACAAATGTCATATATGAATTTCGTAGTGAAGGGTAAAAGTAAAGAAGACAACTTACTCATTGAAGTCTTGTCGAGCATGAAGAAGCCTACCAGCTACTTCCATATTGCTAAACGCCTCAAGTGCTTCCAACATTTCAATTCTCTGAATTAAATACAAATGAAATCACTCAAATCGGATTGTTGACGAACTACTAACAAAATAATTGATTAAACGAAAGTTAGTCAAAAACCTTTAATAGCCTGTATCTTAGGGTCAACATAGGGTAACATTTAACTACTGGTGATTAAGGTAAAGTGAAAACTGAAAAGAGCAGACACAGAGCCCAAGCAGGAAAGTAACCAATCCCACAAATTGGGAGAGATCCCGTCTAGAAATTCATCAGTAGACCACTAAGATTATATATCAATCAAGAGGAGCAGAAACAGGTGTCGCTTGGGGCAAAAGTGAAAAGGAAGGGGTTACTACTATGCTCATGATCACACCACAATGTAAAGCAAGTTTCGCTATGCTCAAAGTGGTAAAAGGGCATTTAAATGATAGAAAAAATTGTACTGCCAGAGTTGAAAGAATAATGCATGGTGTTCTCATATATTTGTAATTTGCATCAAAAGCGAAGTGTCAGCACCAGCACCATCGGTATGGCCAACTTAGTCAACATTAACATACCTACTTGGCTACTTGCAAGCATGAAATAATAAATATAGTCTTACTATTATAGTATTTTGTCTTAACTAAACCTTTTCTTTTGATGAAGGGGACAATATCCGTTGATTCAATATGCCTTATAAGGGCACATAAAAGGCCTTCTTTCAGTTCAAACACACACAGAATGAATATTCTCATACCATTCTCCAAAACTATCAGTGCATACGCGAGGATGTACTTCTGTGAGCTTCATCCACAATTAAGCTCCCCTTTGGACTTGGCACAGTTCTCAAAAAAAAATAGTTTAGAGGAGAGGCAGGAAGTATCAACCATTCAACCTCATAATGCTTTCCTTAAAAGGAAAGAGGAAATAATTTTGGGCAGACAGAGAGGGAATGAAAGATGATAAAAAGGAACAGAGGGAGTAACAAGTACCACCTGAGTGGCCTTAGTGCCTTACTATGGTGTTGGTCTAGCTGTGGCTTAAACATATTTCAACTCCCACCCCCCTCCGAAGTCCAAAGTCCAAACCAACAAATAAATAGTATTGTAGTACTAAAACACCCCAAAATATGATCCCAAAAAGGTCAACAGCAATGAGATATAACAAGAGTTATATCGACAACCCTCACAATAATTTTCACTATCCTCAATTCCTCATTTTTAATCTGAAACATTTACATTTACCTTAATGATGAGGTAACGAGTAACGACAGTACATGTTTTCTCTCTTTGTCCCCCTACAATAAAATGATGATTACATTCTAGGGTACTGTTCTTCACTTCTTCCTGCGCTCCATCACATTGTTCATTCACTAACATCTAGTCATCTACTATTTGTGCACTTCCTTCAGGAAAAAAACTCTATTGCCCCTTCTTTCCTGTTAAAATACTTTTTACATTCCCTATTTCTCTCCATGTCACTTTTTAACTAATATTTTGGTAAACCCCTAAAAACCTAGCAATACAAAAGGCATTATGGACAGGACAACTAAATTAGACACTTACTTGAACTATTGAAACACTTCATATTCGAAATGAAAAAAGTACATAAGATATATAACATGGAAAACTAACAAAGTTGTACAATACCGTTTCTATGTTGACACTAGGAGCAAAAATTGAACTCGTGTGTCTTGCTGATGCTAGAGATCGAGACTGTCGAGGAAAACGAGTCCCCGATCTCACTGATCTATTAGAAGTAGATGCTCGAGCAAAAGATGCTCTACGAGAAATACTAGCTGAAGACTGCACTTGGGAACGCCTTTGTGAGATTGTAGCTGATCTACCTCTCTATAAATTGAAAGAGGGAAAAGTGAAATATAACAAATCGGTGAAAAACTATAGGTATAGGCATGTTGAAACATCTAATACCGTAAATTTTGAGCAAAAAACTCAAGAATTTCACATGTCATTTCAACGGAAAATGCTCCGACAATTCCTTTTATATAACAGACTGTATGTCTCCCTCTGTGGCTCCGTCTGGCACATGCAAGAACGTTTGACCAATGTTGTTTATAAAACTCTTTTTTTTTGCAATATTAATTTAGAGAATTTATACTCCCTATGCCCCACAATATTCTTTCCAGTTTGACTTGGCAAACTTATTAAGAAACTAAAATAGTATGGTACTATGGTTGTGGTTGATGTATAAAGGAGAGAAACAACATTAACCATACAAAAGTTCGCTTAAAAGGAAGGAAAGTGGGGAAACAAAAATGCAGACATAAAACTGTATGCCTCCTTCTGTGGCTCCATCTTGCATATGCAAGACATTTGACTAATGTTTTTTATACAATTCTTTTTTCTTTGTAACACTAAATTAGAAAATTTCTACTCACTCCGTTCCACAGTATTCTTCCCAGTTTGACTTGGCAAACTTATTAAGAATCTGAAATAGTATGGTTGTGGACTTGTGGTTGATGTAATGGAGAGATACAACATCAACCATACAAATCTTTCATTAAAACAAAATTGGAAGAGAATTAGAAAAAATGGGGAGATTCCAAAAAAGAAAGTAGGAAGAAAAATGTTGGGCGGAAGGAGTAAACGTTAAAACAACATAGTTTTATAAAACAAAAAATACAACAACAACATTACTCCAGTGCCGCAAAGACTTCCACCTATGGTGGGGTAGGGGGGTTGGATGTACGCAGTCTTACCCTTGTACAAAAGCAAAGAGAGATTGTTTCCAGATGACCCATGATGAAAAATCACGACGAAAATTGCATGGACTGATTGCTGCTTCATAACAAAGAAGCGCAGACAGTTTTAATGAGTCATTTTCCTTTATTCCACCATATTCCCAAGACTAAAAATAGTGAGTCTTTGGCTCCATTGAAAATGATGGAAATTTTATAAAACAAAAAAATAAAACATATAAATTATTAAAAGTAATTGAAGAAATGAAGTGAAGAAATAAGAGCTGAATAATTCAATGAATAATAAACAGGTTATCACAGTATATAGAGCAGACTTCAGTTGCCTTAAAGTGCAATATCCTTCATTTTATATCTAACTTACAGTTGACACATGACACATTTCATATAAAAAGGGACTGAAGCAGTTCTACTTTTTGCAAAATTCAAAGAGAAAGAAGAAAGGGGAAATAGAGAGACGGACGGGGGAGAGAAAGACAGAAGGGAGAAGTAAGAGAGAGAGCATCAAAGCGTACAGTAATGATTGTATTTGTTTCACCGGAGAAAGAATTATGTGCACCATCTTGCTGCAAATCCATTGCTAAATGTTCATCAATCTGTCCCAAGATGGAAATGATCTATTGGAATATGAAAATTATAATAATGCAAAATAGAAAGAGACGTCCACTAAAAATGTGTCTATATGCATCTGATACACATGGATATGTAAACAGGAAAACCTCAGTAACTCCAAAAATAGGTGTCTCATTATATAATTGCTCTTGTAACTCCCGTGCAAGCATTTCATCTGCTTCTAACTGTCTGACTCGAGCATCTTCATCCTTTTTGCAAGCTGAAGCTTGAGAACTGTCACTTCTTATTTGAGGGGAGCTATGACAGGTCTCGAGAACCGGAGCTAAGAAATCTTTTCTTTGACGGTTTTGGTACCATCCTGATCTCAAATTACTAACATTCCTAGATGATCCGGTACATGTGATGCCATCACTAAATGTGGATGTAGAACATTCCCCATAATTGCTTGAAGTAGATCCTTGTTTTTGTCTTTTACCAAGAGAATTTACCACAGAATGATGATCATCAACACAGCCTGATTGTTGCCCAATAGATTGTACGATCTGACTAGATTGTGCAAAGGCATGCCTACTGGAGGGTAAATCCTTGCACATAGGATTATTTCGAACATTCTCATTGCTTTCTTTCTCTCTTTGTAAGAATCTGTTCTGACTTCGACTTCGTGTAGTTCTCCATCCACCTGGTTCCTCAAAGCTTCTAAGAGTATCTTGACTGGCACTAGCAGTTGTATCAATTTCATCATCAATAACCACCATATTGCTGCAAGTAATTCAACAGAGAAAAGTATGACAAGAGCCTTTTCTTATTGTAAAAGGCTTATATTAGCTCACATAAAACCTGAGAGCAAACAATGAAACAACTAATCCTGAATCAATCACTAACCCTAGGCTCAGACATAGAGTCAATCATCCTTTGAAGAGCAATATGACTAACTAACTACAAGGCTGCAATGACCAAATAAGCCTCTCCGCTATCTATCCTGACCAGAACTTGACCCCAAACTATTAAAACAAAAAACACCAAACTAATGTCGGACTCTAAAACCCTAAAAACAACGCAAACATAAAAAACTAAACCGAGCATGATACTCAACAGAAAAATAAGCAGGACTAAACAAATAGAAATACTTGATTCCATCAAAAGCCAAGGCGGGTCTAAAGTCAAGAACCCGCCTCCTTCCCGTTTTTTGGCCCGTCCAATTTCATGAACAACTCAGATAAATCTCCGTTTCTGTGCTTCTCCCACCCCCGAAGACGCTTTTGAACACCTACCAGTTGATCTCCTTCCATTCCTGCCCCACCCACCTCTTTAATCGCAACTTGATCGTGACGCTCCTCCATTGTTCCCAGCGAAGTCATCTACGTTCCTGTGACTGATCTAATCTTGTCATAGAAGTCCTTGGCCATGGTTTTTTCTATGCAAAACTTAATCCCAGAGCCGCACTAAGGCGGCAAGAAAAACTTGCACAAGAGGCGACAAGCCCTAGGGCGTCCACGAGTTCATGACTTTTTTCTAGCGGTGACTTAATAATAGTGAAAACATTCTTAATGAAATTTAAGTCACTGAAATTGTAATTTACTGCACTAGGGGAAAAATCTTCCAAGTAGTAAGCAAATGATAATGCAATTGAATTTCCGTACCAACAACAACAACATCCAAGTCTTAATCCCAAAAGATTTTGGGGTCAGCTAACATGAACCGAAACATGATATCAAAGCCAAAAGCAAATGAAAGATAAAAAGATAAGGTATGATGATAAAAAAAAAGGATAACAAAAAAGATAAGACAAAATAGAGATAAGATAAAAGGATACAAAGAATATATACATATAAATAAAATAAACAGAAAGTATATAAAAAACAGAATATATATAAAAACAGAAAAAATGGATAACTAGAATTTCCGTACCATAAGAGAAAAAATAATAATATATCATTGCAGTATTGCACTGAATTTCATTAATACAATAGCATTAGGATATTAGATTACTGATAAAAGATGGATAAATAGAACTTAAGACTTGCAAAGAGAGGAATCTACAATAACATATAAATCCGCATATCACAGGGAACCGGAAAAATGACTCTTTGTGGTAAGCTGAACTGCTGAAGATGCACATCATACGGAAAATTTCAAACAAATTCACAGGGAACAATTAAGAACCACTATATGAGCCAACTTGTGGAAACCCCCTCATCAGAACTATGACGAAATTTCAGCCATGTACTAATAGTCTAACACTGATGCATGGGTGCCCTTTTCATAACTTCAGGGCTATGTTTTCAAATTTTCAATTTCAACTCAGTTTAATTGACAGGTGAAGAAAAAAGGTGATTCTCTAAAATGTAGTAACTTTTAGTGGTTATCTAGTTCATATCACTGGGGTTAAAAACTAAAACAAGTTATCATTTTTAAGTACCTGTGAGATGTATTTGCGCTTTTAGCCTTTGGTTCTGAGGAAATAGAAGGATATACGGTTACCCCTTTGCCTTTGGATGAGCATGAGGTGTGTTCTTCAGAAACCAAATCTATAACATTAAATACATTCTTTGAGCTGCTAGATGTTGCAGGAAATCTGGTACAATCTCGTTCAACAGTTAAAGGACAATTCTGATCTGTCCCAATTGGTTGTTTGGCCTTCGCTATATTATGAGGAGATATACATCCATTTCGGACCAATCTTCTTTTCCCAGTGACCCTAGGCAAGGAGGTAGTAACAGAAGCATAGCCAGCCTTCATGCCATTGCAACGCACATCATGAGCGACATTTGTCCTCTCTCCATGATTGATAGGCACAGTGACTTTATATTTATCACCAATTAGTTTTACTCCGCGGCCATTCTTTGTGGTCACTGAAAGATTTTCCATATCTCGTAAGTCAGAAGACTCACAGCTTGATACAGCTCCCTTGTTAAAACCCTCAACAAGTGTACTTTTTGTTGAATTCACAACCAACCCACCAGTGCAGGAAGATGCTTCAGGATTCAACACTTGGTCCTCTTTCTTTCTAAGTTGGCCTGAGATATAGTGCCTCCCATAGTGGTTGGGGGCACTTTCATTGTTCCTTCCATGCAAAAAACTAATTTTTGAAGGAGATCCATGCACTTCAAAAGCTGAAGACTTTGCATGGCAGTCCAAATGACCAGAGTGTCCAGAACTACTGGTTCTTGAAGGGCAATGACTTAAAAGCCTCGTGGTTCCAATGACATTGGTGATCAGCTGGCTCTTAGTCTGCTCAGTACAAAGCTTTTCCTGTTCTGAATGGGTTTCTAAAGTGATTATCTCCTTTTTAACTCCACCAGTGTGCCTATTCTGTGAAGATTGTCCAGAATGTTTAGAATTACTATATCTTCTTAGAGGTCGATTAAAAAGTTGCATGGTTCTGTCGGGGATATCTGGAACTTCCTCTACATCGTCAATAACCAGTTGATCCATAAGCACTGCATTATAAATAAGATGCACAAAATTAGTAGATGATTCAAAATTACCCAGCTACAAACAATTCATATACATTCATAAATGCGTACCACATTTTTATATTCAAATAAACATCTGACTGATATGAAATTTCACAATATTGCTGAAGCAGATTGAAAACATTTTGACAAGCAAAACTTAATGGTCTCCAATATTTGTGATCGAGTCATGTTAAAATGAATTGAAGGGAAAACAGGAAGCCGGGTGTAGTCTTCAATGGTGGGAGCATCTTGAATTGAACGCGAAGATGTGGGATTTTCAGCGAGAGCTTGACAGAAGCAATAAATTACATATGCAGATTAAAATTAGGGAAAATGGAAACTAATAATCCAACCTTTTAGCGGTCTTCTTTTAATAGTCCGACCTTTGCGTTATTCATGAATAATCCAACCTTTGCATCTCATCTTCATTCATTGGTCCCCGACCGGTTGATGACCTGCTATTCCGAGTTATTTTCTTATCTTTGCAAACTATTATACCATAAATTCCACCTTTCACAAAGATAATATTTTGCAAAGATAAGAAAATAACTTGGAATAGCAGGTCATCAACCGATCAGGGACCAGTGAATGAAGATGAGGTGCAAAGGTTGGATTATTCATGAATAACGAAAAGGTGGGACTATTAAAAGAAGACCGCTAAAAGGTTGGATTATTAGTTTCCATTTTCCCTTAAAATTAAATGGGAGATATTGAGTTCTCCTGAAACTCCCTGGGAGAGATGTTGTTTAGTTCTCCCAAACACATGACGTCGTTAAATACAAGAGTTCCTAGTTCTTACAATAACAAACCATAAAAACATACTACCTCTGTCCCAAAAAACTTTACCATTTTCAAAACTTTGACCGACTATAACTTTTTATTGAAAATTATTTATGATATAAAAATTATATGAAAATGTTCTTTGTTAAAAGTACTTTCATTAAAGTACAAAACCTATAACTTCCATAATATTATACTTATTAAAATAAAGGTTCAAATTTTTTGAAATGGCAAAGTTTTTTGGGACGGAGGTAGTATGAAAAACTTCATGCAACAGTGTACCATGGACGTAAATAACGTAACTAAATTCAATGTGTGCATGTGATATACTGCGTCCCAATGTTCACTACTTGTGTGCAATGTTTGAAATTGTGCATTGCGGAGTTGAGGCGTTTTTTTCCAAGGCGTATTGTGTAAGCCTCATTGCGCATTGAGGCACAAGGCTAAGGCGTAAACCTTAATGTGTAAGAAATTTTTTTATATAAAATTTTATAACTAATAAGAAATAAAAATTCCTTCAAAGTAACATACTTAATTACCAAATTAACAATAATGTCATAAAATTATAGAAATCTTAGTTGAAAATGGCATCATATAAATTATTTATTCTAAAATTCTATGTTTTTTATGAGTGCAAAAGAGAATTGCTAATGGTAATATTTTAACATTATTTGATATATTAATCTAATCCAAATTAAAGAATATATACGACTATACTTGAAACAAAAAATCAAATATTATGAAAAGTAAAACTTCACTCAGAAAAAAGTAAAATTTTGAAAAAATAATAATTAAAAACATTGCCTAGAGAAAATATAGTAAAATTCGTTGCAACAAGTAATTCCAAGCCTAAACAAACATTAATCTAAAAAATGGAATCCAGCTGGAATCCACTCAAAAGGATATTACCTGTGGTGTATGAGAAGTCCAGAAGGATACTTTGGAACCGACTCAAAGTAATATACTACGTACTTTGTATAATTCTCGTCTCCCTACTAAAGCCTGCCGACGCACGCCGAGGGACAGACAGCCTCAAATAAGAACAGTGCAGGGCAATAAGAAGGATAGGCGGACAGGCGGAAGCTTACAGAAGAGCTGGTGTACAAAAATTAATACTCAGCAGAGAGGGAGAGAGGTGGGCTGCCACATGCTAATCAGAAGAAGAGAAGTATTTTGGTCGAGTATTAAATTACTTCTTTAGATTGAAATACGTCTGGGCCCATCCTTTTCATGTCATCTGGAGACCTATTATTGCGTAAGCCTTCTTGCGATTTGTATCGCACGCCTTATATCGTCCGCCTCAGCATAAAAGGCGCAAGCTTTCTTATGGCGTAAAAAAGTTTGGCCTTTAATCGCAATAAGCCTGGAAATCGACGAGGCCTATTGCGCAATTTCAAACATTGCTTGTGTGATTAAAATGCCAATATATAACTGACCCAACCATACCACATACATTGTTAAAATTAACATGTACAATCAAAGAATAATTGATAGTAGTATAACTGGCCCAACCATACCACATACATTGTTAAAATTAACATGTACAATCAAAGCATAATTGATAATAGTATACATGAAACGACACAAATAGGTGGCCGCCAAATCTGGCTAATTTGTTTCTTAAACCGTATAGACTTGCATGTATGGCAAGAGAGAACGTCAGTTAACAATTGCTACCCCTATGAACTGCCTAATGAGCTCATTTCTCTAAGAACAGTTTGTTTGCAAGATAATTTATAAAGGGATATGCACGGGTGTGAGAAAAGTCGCTCCCAAAACATAAACATTGGCAGCTCCTCAACTTTCATGCAGAAACAAAATGAGAACGTTTATTCTGTAATTCTGTGCGCTTGTTTTGAAAAAAAACATTCAGACAAACTGTTTAACTTTGCATTTGACATAATGAACTTAGTCCAAAACATCACACAACATATTATTTTATGAATAGCAATACATGCACATGCACATGCACAGTCTTAACAATAAAAAAATCAGATGGCATCACTCTCAATTTCCCAAGGGAAGGTCTTGGGTTCAAAATCACATAGCAAATTCCCAATCTACAGTATGTTGATTACTGAGCAGGTGCTTTCATTACAGATCAATTAAGTGTAAACAAAAGCTATAAACAAAATTCAAATAATAATAATAATACTTAATAATTATTTTAAAATTAATGAATAGCTGTTCAACCATGTCATCTTGGTCGATTAGATACAAATATGTTATGTCATTTATGTGTGAGTCTACTAATCCCAATTACACCTTTTCGAGGTTAAAAGTATGATCTTTGAAAACTAGTACAGTTGAGTAGCTGACAAATGCAATGATTCAACATGTCATTACTGCACGTAAGGATGTTACTTATGAATTTACATTTTACAGCCATGATGATGGAGGAAGCCATGAATGGAGACTAGAATTCTTAGAATCAATTAACTATTTACTCCTAACTAATAAGAATCACACTACAATTCTTGGAACAGAGGACAACACATGAAGATGTTTGCTTGTCCAAAGGCTATATAACTAATAACGTACACGATGATGGGAATCCTCCATTCAAGGTCTAAAGTTTTACACATAGAAATATATATCTTTTCATGGCATACATGTCTTAATTTTGAGTTTTGTTCATTCTTAGAAAGAAATTGTTACTTTCATAAAATAAGTAAGGGAAAAATAATTAAAATACCCCAAACTTTGAAGGGGTGTGAGATGAGCACCCCAAACTTGCATATGTAATAGAAAAATATCCCAAACTTTATATAAAAATTTATTTTGGCACCATAGTCAAGTATTATTTCTTTCAAAAATGTAAATTTATGATGTTAATTGCATAATTTATATGTAGTAATATTTTAGGATTCATGAAGACACAATGGTGCGAAAATAACTTTTTATATAAAGTTCGGGATATTTAAATTACATATGCAAGTTTGGGGTGTTTACCACGCACCCTTCAAAGTTTGGGGTATTTAATTATTTTTCCCAATTATTAATGAGTTATACCACTGAAGACAGTGAAGGTTGTTGGGAGTAGGGCTCGGTCGTGGATGTGTGAACCATTATTTTAATAATGAGATCATTTGATCTCTCAGTTCTACCTGTCATCATCCAACAACAACGAGATTCTCATATTGCAGAAAGTAAGAAACGATTACACTGATTCAATAGTTTAGGAGTAACAGTCGATTTCCCTAGCTTTGCAATAAATTGATGTAAATTATGGTTCTGTTTATACTGCTGAATGATACGCTTTCACTTCCCCTCGTCCTCTCTTGACAAAAAAACCCTCCTTAATTCTTCTTTCCACATCTTCGCCCATTAATTTCTACTAAAAGTGTGGTAGGGCGGGATATAGCAGTTAAAAATAATTGAAATTCAGATAATTGCTAATTATCGAACCATGTTAGTAGCTTGAGCATGTCAGGCTCCATTAAAACCCTATAGCATGCTGAATTCATGATTACTCGATTTCGAATTCTCTAACAAACCCTAGATGAATCACCAAGATGCGACAAAGAAAACTTTAAATATGAAAAAAGAATAACGACAATCAAAATTTAACCTTTCGATACCTTTGGTGGATTTAGAGAACTGAAAGTGCTGAGAGATCGAAGCAAGCTTATTGCGTGTGATTTGCCCCAACAAGAAAAAGAAGTTGCGCAAAGCTACTGGCTTGCCTGCAAGACTGCAATGGCCGGTTCAAATATTTCAGTTATATTTCACTTTGCCCACTAATCAAGTTTTATTGTCAAATTAGCCCTAGTTTTGTTTTTAATTGAACATGTTTCGGTCCATAGGCTGGTATGAACCGTATGATCGGTTTAAACCGGCTCTTTTTTTTTTTTGGAAAGATTAATATTAATTGCTATTAATCAAATCATTGTTCAATACATCAATAATGAAAGACGGGGGAATCGAAAACCAAACACGACTTTCAGACAAAGAACTCGCAGCCCTTGCCAACACATGAGCCGGCCGGTTCGCTGAACGTCTAACATGAGAACATGTGATGCTGACAAAACTAGTCATCATATCTCTAATATCTTCAGCCAAAACGCTCGAATAGGAACAACCTGAGCCTTTCTGAATTTCATGGACAGCTAATAGAGAATCGGTTTCCAAGTCTATGAGGTCCCATTGTTGAGTTTTAATCCAGCTGAGTGCCTCCCTAACACTCATTAGCTCAGCTTCAAGAGGAGTAAACTGGCCACTACCTGCAATGCTGCCTCCTGCCAAGAAAGATCCGCAGCAGTCCCGAATCACCCAACCAAATCCACAATGTTCTCCCCCGGTCGAGGCATCAACATTGATTTTCCGCCGCCCTGCAACCGGTCTCTGCCACATTGAACTCCCACCAGCATTTTTATCCCCAAAAGAAACCACTGGGCGCTGCACCATAGCCCAGCCATCAACATATGCTCTGGTTTTTGCCATCACCTGCTTTCCTTCCATCTGCAAACTGTGCCAAACTCGCTGGTTTCTTTCTCCCCACAAACCCCAGCAACCTGCAATAAATCTTTCAATCTCTTCCTTCTTTAGCACTTTAAAGATTACTTCCAGCCATTCCATAAAACTAAGGGCCGAATGATCTACCCTCGTCCAGCTTGCATTCCCCCAAGCTTCTCTAGCTACACCGCAATGAATAAATAGATGAAGCAATGATTCAACACCCTCCTCCCTGCAAAGACCGCATCTGATGACGCATGCTACTCCCTTGTGTTTAAGGTTTTCCGTTGTGGGAAGGCATCCACTGCAAACCTGCCAAAAGAAAATTTTGATTTTAGGGGGTAAGTTAAAACGCCACATGGAAGTCCAGCCCGCCCACTCGGTCGGAACTATTTCACCGGTAATAATTCGGTAACAACTCTTAACACTGAACTGTCCATCTTGTTCTCCTGTCCAAATCAATTTGTCTGCTACCACCCTTTTACTTAAGGGAATCTTTCTGATAAGAGCAGAATCCCTATCAACAAATAGATCCCTTATAATGTCTTCATCCCATCCAGCCCCATCTGGCATCATCAATCCAGCAACCGAAGCATCCTCCAATCCTTGCACACACTCAGACAACACCTTAGGATTAAGTTCAATGTGATCTTATTATGTGTTTAAGTTTGGTATGATATTGTACCGGTACCATGTGCAATCACGTCGCTAAAGTCATTGTGTGTCTCAAATTAAATTCACTACTAAGGGTTAATACCGTAGTATAGCGTGGTAGAATTCGTATTCATAGGGAAATGAGCTTTTCGTGTATGTGTAAGCGTTATAAATAAAAGTAAACGAAAACGGGGTTGGATATTTTGATTATTGAGAAAGCGAATTAAAATACTAAAATGAGTGAAATAAAATATCAAAGGTTACCAACCTTGGTTTTGCTAATTTCCACTTAGTGAAGTGCTCGTTGATCATTGTTACTGTTTTAAATATTCCTCTTGAATACTTAATTATGGAGAAATTTCAATTCATCTAGAATAGCTATTAATAACGAGACGCGTTGCTTAATAGCCCTTACTATTAATTAATCAATATATAACAAGTGTCATATGTTGATCTTAATAGTAGCATTCGGTTGATTTAATGAAATAAATTTAGAACGATAACTTGTAACCCGGGGTGAATATTCTTGATTGTCACAACGAGAATCTCAGATCCAGGTATTCTATCTGATTTATTCATTTTATTCTGATGAAATCAATTAAGATTGACAACCTCAACACAAGCGGTTTATTGGTTTAATCGATATGATTACTCCCTCTTACATTATTAACCATGAGACACATGCATTAACAATATAAGTTTACTACTTATTAAATGACCAAATGAATAACAAGTGTATTCATTGACCGATTCTTGTAATAATTAATATGGAAACATCAACTAATTGATCACTTAGTGATGCTCAAATATCAATATGAAATATGAATATGAAAGTAATTAATATTTAAGAGATGAGGATTAAAGAAATAACTCACAACTTACAAATCACAAGCTTCAATATAGCAAAGCCAAGCTCAAAAGACTACCTAAAATACAAGAATAATGTCTATATGAAAAAGGGTATTAATTGGTATATAAACTGGGAAGGAAAGCGATGTTTTTATAGGAGAAATGAGGTGATCGGGATTGATACCCGACCGGGTATTTAGGATACCTAACCGGCTATCCTTGGCAGTAGCTACGAAAGTGTTGAAATCTAGTTATACCCAATCGGGTGTATGACAAAATCTGATTTTCCCATGTTCTCTTGCTTTATTTGATCTCATATGATCTCCGGGTCAAATCATACCCGGTCGGGTATTGCATATACCCGACCGGGTGTGATACCAAATTAGATTTATTACATTTCTTTGTCTCCCATGAAGCTTCCTTTTGTCTTCATTGCTTCTTTCTTATGCTCCCAAGCTTTTTTCTCTTCCTTTCATCATGTTTTTGCTTACATGTAAAAATATCTTAAAATCTTCTAATTCTAGTTTAGTTTTAGAAGATAAAGATTACACTGTAATTGTACAAAAGCTAAGTAAACACAATATAAAATCATTCTAAAATGTGGTGTTTATGCACTATTAAATAGTACATACCATGCAAGGATGGATTTAAGGGGGGTGCGGGGATAAAATATATCGTACACCCGGTTGTACGGTCCTCACCGTACAACCGGGTATTTTTGCAATTATTAGCAACTTCTCTCAGGCGCCAAGGCCCCATCGTCCGTAGCTGAGCTGCGCCGATTCCTTCGGCCACCACATGAAGGAGGAACGTCGGCTGAAAATGATGGTCGTTTGCTTGTTGGTTTCACCTCTTCTGTTTTGTTTTTTTCTTTTCGATTTCCTTGCTGATGGAGTATATGATCCAGGACCCCCTGGCCCACATACTCATGCAATCCAGACATTCAGTGGAAGCCCTCGGCAGCACCTCGGCCATGATGTCCTTAGTACCCCTCGGCTGTGATGCCCTCGGCACCCCTCGGCTATGATGCCCTCGGCCCCCCTCGGCTATGATGTCCTCAGTACCCTCGGCTATGATGCCTTCAGCACCCCTCGGCTATGATGTCCTCGATACCCCTCGGCTATGATGCCCTCGACACCCCTTGGCTATGATGTCCTCGGCACCCCTTGGCTATGATGTCCTCGGTACCCCTCGGCTATGATGCCCTCGGCAGTACCCCTCGGCACCCCTCGGCGATGATGTCCTCGGTACCCTTCGGTTATGATGCCATCGGCACCCCTCGGCCAGTACCCCCTCGGCTATGTCATGCCCTCGGCCGTATGAAGCCTTCGGGCGTACATGAAGCCTTCAGCCATACATGAAGCCTTCGGCCATACATGAAGCCTTCGGCCATACATGAAGCCTTCGGCCATATGATCCCGGCCGAAGGGTCTACGCTCTACGAAGCTTCCTCTAGAGACAAGCAACCACCGCATTCAATGCGGCGTCACATCCACCCACCGCATTTAATGCGGTGCACATGCGAATGTCGGTGCCACCCTGATTGAGGTGACCCCTCGGCCGTCAGATTGTTGACACGTGTACTCTAATCGCATTTATGGCTGCTATAAATAACAACCCTTATTCCTCTTGTAAAGGATCCCAGAGCAGAAGTTCATTAATAACACCTGACTCTCTCTCTCTCTTACTTGTTTTGTTCTGACTTCTCTCTAAGTTATTCCCATAATAACCCTTCGGATAAGCTACCCCCCCCCCCCCCGTACGCTATCCATCATTTGGTGCTCTCGTTGAGAGGTCCGAACAATCAAGTAAGAAACCCTCCCCTTCACCAAACACAAAAACACCTACCAAAATGGGAAGAACTCGTGGTCAATCCAAAACCCTTGAGGAAAATCACGTAGCCCCCGGCGAAACCAACGGAGCCGAGGCCTCCAACAGGCTCTTGGTGCCCGAAGGCGGCACTATCCTCGAGTTGGAGCAGGCCGCTACTGACCTCCGTCAGCAGCTGCAGAAGACTGCCCCCGATGCCCGCATCGGCCTTGATAGCCGAAGGAGGGACCGAAGTGAGAACCAAGTTCCCCCTTCGGCTCCAACCATCGATCTTTAGACCGCTTTCGCGGCCTTCGTCCAAAGCATGGCCCTGAATTCCTATGCCTTCGTTTCCCAGGCACCCCTCCAGCCCTATTTCGGAGGAAATACAATCCATTTTCCGCCACCCCCTCCTCTGTTCAACAATCCCGTCATACGGGTTGGCAACGCCGAGGGGGTCATGGCGCAGGACACCGCCTCCCAAGAGGCCCAATCCAAAGACAAACGTTGCGCGAACAAGGAGAAGCCCCGAACCTCCGCCCTCGAGAGGTTAGGGCAGGTTTCGGAACGCCGAGGGGTCCAAGACCGCCTCGGCGGAAAAGCCACTAGCAGGCCACAAGAGAGTGGAGGCTCCGTCTCGGGGGCCGAGGAAAGAACTCCCCCTCGGGATAAAGGCAAAGGCCTCCTCCACGCAGATGACGCTAGGCATCAAATCAATCACGCTCAATCCTTCAGGGCAAAATCCCAAGGGGCTACCCCGAGGGATCACAAAGAAGAGATCATTGAGGCCCTCCGGCGCCAGCTGGGGGAGAAGGAGGCGCGCCAAACGCCCCCCGCTTCAGCCATGGAGGCGGATCCAAAGTACGTCGCCATACTCGCAAAAATGGAAGAGATGAAACGAAAGTTCGCCGAAGGGTCGGGTGAACCCCTCATCCAGCTTCGCACAAAGACGCCCTTCACCCCAAGG